GACGATTTCCATATAATACATATTGTCCATACTTTAATTCTATTGAATAACTATTTGATTGCAGCCACTATATCTGTCGTCTGTACGAATGAATTGTTTTCGAAATTCAATAAAGCATCAAATAATCCTTTGGCGACGTTTCACGAACGTATCGATGAATAAATTGATGAGGAAAACGGTATGGTAAAATAGTTGACAGGTCAGACGGGAGGTGGAGGGGGTGAATTTTCAACGAGACAAATTCTCAGGCTTGTTGCATATTGATCAAGCCACTGACCTACTAGGATCGCACGTGTTCCCGTAACAGCATGCTTCTACGATCAATTACTCCGCAGGCACACAATAGGTCTGGCCTTCTCCGTCTTCGCTACATTACCAGAGAACACAACACCGCGTCATTAAGGAGAGACCACGCGTCATTAAGCCGCGGGCACTCTGGTATCGAGCATCGTATCGGGGCAAAATGCACACACGGTATTTATAACGATGACATAATTTTCTGCGACACGAAACCAGCGACACCGTAACGGTAAAAATATACTCGACGCGACATACTAACATCTCCACCCCCGATTCTGCGAATCCTAAAACACTTCTACAAGTATTTGACAAATATTTTATACTGCGGATTTTATTCATTTATGAAAGAATTTGACGAGCAGAAGTTATAAATGTTACGTGTAAATATATTCAGAATATTAAAGACTGACGCATATTTCAATATTTCAATAATAAATGAAATATGTCACATCTCTTAAATTCATGCCCTTTTATTTAGTATAAAGATACAAAGTATAGTAATTATAATTTCAATTGGAAAACTCTACAACATCGCATATTCAATTTGTTTTAAATTCTTACAGCAATACGTTTTGTAATATTTTCTAAAACTTATAAACGGAGGTGTGTAGAAATTTTTGTCTGGCCTTCGATGATGAACAGTCTATTTTCTTCAAGAAATAATTAAGACGCGTCCCTCAAGGGACAACGGTGGGCCATCGTTGACGCGATAATCGCGAGACGATGAGGTTGTCCTTCGGTGGAAGTTTTCAACGGGTGGAGGTCCTTCCCTGTTCACGGCGATCGAACGGCCGGAAACAAAGGCGCGAAGAAACCGTCGCGGAGGGATAAAGGGTGACAAGGCCGGGGCTGTCTCACTCGAAATAATGGACGCTATTTAGCTTTTAATCCGCGAGCCGGAGTGTACCTGATAAGGAGAGCGATCTTGAAATGATAATCAATCACGGTTCTCATTTAAGATATTCCTTTGTCCGCTTGCTAATTATATCGCGAGACCTTCGAACGTCTTGGAGACTTTTTCCTTTGTCGAACAAGTTGTTTAAGAATCGATGCAGTTAGCGGTTTTATTGAGTCGAGTTATGATTAATTGCGATTATTATTCCTAATGATTCTCGATTAAGGAATTGGAATATCGATTAATTTGAGCAGAACCGCGGGCGCAATTAATTGTGGCATTGCAGGAGTGATTAAAATAATGAATGCGTCATTTATTATGGATATCCTACGACTCGTTTGATTCTCATATAACGCGAAATCAGAGAATAACGCAGCCAGTCTCGAGGACGGTCCAACCCTTTTCACAATGAGCCTAACGAGGTATCTACCCAGGCGTTACACGACGAATATTTAATACGGCGTGCCGTCGTCGCCGGGACGCTCGGACGGCGCCTAATATTTGTCTAGAACCAAGCAACCCTGCGAGCTTAATTGGAACTGGCCCCGCTTCGTTTTACCAAAAATCCCGGCTACCATTATTTAGTCTTCGGCCACTGTCCCCATGAGTCCTCTTAATGACTCTGTCCGTGATAACGCGTGACTGGATATCGAAGATGGTACACGCGCGTCTCTGATAAAACCGCGAATTTATGCGCCACTGGGATTGGGGTTGTTCAAGCGACTTAATGAAAGCACTTTCGGGAATCGCGCCGCGACGTTGTTCCACAGTTGTTGTCTGTTTATTCGCGGGTTGCTGACGCAATGCTGGATTGTCAGAAACTACACGGAGCCGTAAACATATTGCGAAGCGAAGATATCGGACTATGTTGTTTTTAGGACAACTGTTTCAACAATCAAATGCTGAAAGGGTTACAAATTATAATAAGCAAATTTTTATATTTTGTATAAAAAGATAAATACGTCGTGTTATATAATAAACGTAGCAATAATTTTGTGTTTGAAAGTTTCCATTAAATCAGTAAAGGAAAACAGAAGCAATTGACCACCTAAGAAATAGATTCAAGGCGGATAGTGTAACATGGTTAATGTAAGGGAGAGTCGAATTTCTCGATCGTATTGCGGCTCGAGTTTCGATTCGTTTGCTCGACAGATGCTCTAATTGGGATATTTGACTCGTCCATGAATTCTCCGTTACCAAGCACCGAAATAACTTAAGAATCACCAATTAGGTGTACATCTTTGAACGAATAGAATTTAAACGAATATCTTACTACCCGTTCGAGTGGACTTAGCTACCTTTCCCGAGGAGGAGGAGGAGGAGGAGGAGGTCCATCGGAGACCGATCGATCTTGTTTTCTTAGCTAAATGGTAACGAGAAACGATGGAGAAGAAATTTCCGAGGAGAAGCTAGCAATTATACTTGAAATACGGTCGCCTCACTATTTCCATTACAATCGGTACGTCGCAGAGCAAACGAACGACGTTTGGCGGGAAATTGCAAAATTGTCTCGCGTCGATATGCATCTATCGACGTCTACCAGCCGGATGGAATTGTATCGCAAACAATCTGCCATCGTTCGTTTCCTTTTAACTGACAAAACGACGCGGGCTGATCGATTCGCTCGCACAAAGTCGCGAGACTAAATACAATTAACGGGAACGATTCGTGATTAAATCTTCGATAAATAAATGCGACGACGGTTTCGTAAATGAGATGAATCCGCAAGATGATCAGCTGGTTCCGCGCTGGGATCGTGTAATAACGTTGGCAAACGGGTTGACGAATCACGGACAACCGCTGTTTGCCTTTGTCGGCCACGCGTGACGCTGAATCCATCCTTGATCGACGATTATCGTCGGCGACGTGCGCTGATCCACAATTGCCGACCGACGAACCCTAGCATTAGCGAACCATTCAAACGGTACGCGTGCTCCGGCTCGATCAATCCACGATTTCGTCGAGGACACGCGAAATTAAAGTACGAAAACAATGTCGATGAAAATTATACACGACGGATAGATTATAATCTTCATTTAATTAACGAGCAAAGAAGGCGGCTGAAACGAATCATAAAAGTATTCTGCTATCTAATCTTGAGAATAAAAATAATTTGTCGAACGTCGAGAGAAATGGCAAGTAAATTCTAAACTTCGTTTAATTAGAAATATGTAAGAATTGAAACGAGTAATAAAATTGTTGTACATGGTTCAGCCTTTACTGTCAAGAATGTGCGGACGTCCTTTGGGATTTTATCCTGTCGCTAACTATTTGAAAATTGTCAATAAGCCACTGGAGGAGACATAAAAGCAGGCACTTTTCACTACTGCCGGTAAAAATAAAAATATCATTGAAAGAGAAGGATTCGATTTAATCTCCTGACTCGATCATGTCGCAGTAAGAATAAATTCTACGATCGTATAAATAAAACGTATTTAACGATCTCAACGTTAATTCGCCATATCGATAATAAAACTATTCCGTCGTTTATTTCAGTCATCGTAATTGATCCGGTCCCATTAGTCCGCACAGCACGCCAATCAAACGTCCCGAAAACGTTCAAGCATAAAACAAAATAATCAGGCCATCAGCTATAAAGCCGGCCCGTCCCGATCGCCAGAAATGGTCCACCTCGCTCGTGATCGGTTGTAGAAATTTTTGTCATTACTAAATCATTCGGACAAGAAAGTAATTGAGACAAATGTAGAAGTATTGAATTTGCCTAAATAAATCATGATACATAATGCTTGATTAATTATATGCACATATTCATTGAAGAACATTATTAACTTGTTAATTTATTATTAACATTGCATTATTAATTTGTTATTAACCAGTTAAGTGTGTTTGACGACTATATCCGTCATAGAAGAATGGCAGAATTTTGTGTTATGACGGCTATATCCGTGAATAAATTCATTCGTTTTCTAAAATAAAGTCGTCTTTTTGACCCAATATTTCAACAGCGCCACTTACTCTGTGTTTGACGACTATATCCGTCATAGAAGAATGGCAGAATTTTGTGTTATGACGGCTATATCCGTGAATAAATTCATTCGTTTTCTAAAATAAAGTCGTCTTTTTGACCCAATATTTCAACAGCGCCACTTACTCTGTGTTTGACGACTATATCCGTCATAGAAGAATGGCAGAATTTTGTGTTATGACGGCTATATCCGTGAATAAATTCATTCGTTTTCTAAAATAAAGTCGTCTTTTTGACCCAATATTTCAACAGCGCCACTTACTCTGTGTTTGACGACTATATCCGTCATCGCTTGATTATCGCGACACACACTGGGGCGCACTTTGCAAAATGATCGACACAGTTAACTGGTTAATATACTTTTACTTTTTATTATTAAGGTCACGAAATTTTTACATTGGAAATAAAAGGCTGCATGGAAACATTTAATTGCAAACGTCTTTACGTTTAAACAGGTTGCGTGTCGAAGAAGCTGACTCAGGGGGTGGGCGAAGATGGAAGTAAGTGACATATACCGTGCGAAGGGTCTGTACGTGATCCAGCCATTCGTAGTACGACTCTCGCGCCTACCAGTTCGTCTCCCTCTCGCGCGCATTCTGGAAAGGAGAGCAGCTCTCACGAGCAAAATAAGCTCTCGTCCAGCGAGGCCGTTAGACACGCGTTTAGGTTGACTGCTCCTCTCGTCGTGTGCTCCACCTCGTCTACCCCTCGGCTCTTCTGCCCCGTGTGCTCCGCGACGCCCTCACCGACTCTCTCCCCGTCCCTCTCCCTACCCCCGTGGTCCCTTCCCCCTCCATCGAAATCGATGCTACTCGCGGATCGCGAGTTCAGTCTGCGACTGGCCACCGCGTGCGTAACGTCGCTCCCTTCCCTGTGCTTTCGATTTCGTTTCGCCTGCACCCGGACACCCTCGTGAAACATCGGTCGCGCGCCCTTCCCGCCCCATGCAGCGGGTCAGCTCGGCGTGGCTGCGTCGCGACGCGTACACCTCGTCGCTGGACGTGACCCGGGATCGCCGTCGATCACGTGTGACCTCGTGCCGGTGGACGGTGGACGTTTAAATCGCGTGAGGAAGTTCCGCGAAGTTTATCATTGAAAAAAAGAGAGAATATGCAGAAGGACTCAGTGAAGGAGATCATTGACGGTACCACGACGATGAAAGTTCGAACGATCCTGAGTCGATTGGATGTGTGACGAGGCGCTAGGATAACAACAAAACGCCTCAACGACCGTCCCCGTGAGAGAAACGTGATTGGGTGAGTATTTGTTTTCTTTATATCCTTTATAATTGATGAAGTTGCTATTCTTCAAGCATAGATGTCCCATCAAATGTTTCGCGTAAAAGTGTTTACCAAAACACTTTTCAGTATATTAACCGCGTGATTAGTTAGAAAATTGAATCTGTTCTAAACCGCGTATCGTTCATATACGTGTAATGGTGTGTCGGTGGACCCTGACGCGTTCGTAATTAACGCGCGGCAAACGGAACAAAATGTTTGCGCATCTCGCGGGAAATTAAATGATACCATGCCCCCGCCACCCCCGTTTTCCCGATCCGGGTTATCGTGAAATATTTCCACCGGGGCAAACGCATCGATGTAAACGCGTAACGCGAGCTGACAGCTCGTATATAGCTCGCTCGGTTCACCAGTTCACCGCTGGTCAGCCGGGTCAAGTTTATCACGGGCGACATCCATTCTTCCGTTATTTACTCGTCATCATATCCGTAACCGGGTTGGAACTGCGCGGACCCATTCGTATAACTGGCTGAAACTTATGACTGGTACGGTTGGTGTACGTAGCTTTAGGTTAAAAACCATCGCTTGGTCAGATATAACTGCGTCACGGCGCCATTGATATATGTGTGTTCTAAATTACGTAAACGTTGCGTTGCAAATCCTATTCGTTTTGTGTACTTGGGAACTCCGATATGAAAGAGCTCGCGGGGGAACTTGACGAATCTATGATTACACATTTAAAGTACCTCTTGTAGCGAGAAATTTCCTGGAACTTCTCTTGAAAACGTGAACTCCTTAAATAAGAATGCATAATAGAACGCAAAATGTATGAGAAGAGAATTGAAATGGGGAAAATCGAGTGTGTAGGTTCAGTCCCAGTAGTACAGCTGTACAATTGGGCGGACATTACATCTGAATTTGCTGGTGTCAATATTTAGATATGCAATTGTAATGTGAAGGCATGAAATGATCATCGATTATCGTAAAAATGAAACAGATTCAAAATAAAAATATTATTATACACACGTACATTATAATAAAAAAAGTAGTATAAATGTAAATTGATCAGATGCTTGTTTCACTTCCATCGCAGACGTTTCAGACTTGATCAGTAAATTTTCACGACGTTATAAAAATGATGTGTAAAACATCGGAAGGCGAAAGTCGTTGCACAATAAGTTGATGGAAAGTGGAGCAACCGTGCGATTGGTCAGACGTAACGGCTTTATCCCAACGTTTTCGGTGACAGTTTTCCATTAAGGCGACCGGTGACCGCCTCGATCGTGGTTTTCTTTTCTCGTCCGCCCACTTCCATCGGCCGCTGTCCACCCCTTCGACACACGGTATCGTGACATCCGGCCGCGAGCCCCGAGGAAGTTGCTTAATTAATTGCCTTTGGAAATATAATCCGCGTCGAGTGTAACTAATCAGGGTGAAACTCGGTCGGACGTTGACAGGCATGTTTGCTGCACCTATCACGTACTAGGATAGAAATGTAATTTGCCCGGATAGAGTTAGCCTCGTTGAATGCCGTGGCCAAGCATCGCCGCCTATTCTGCCCATCAGCCTCAATCTTCTGACGATGGTGGTGGTGGTAGTGCGCGCCACTCATTGATCACCACCAACGATTTTGCATGTAAGGATCCGACTGCCACGTACACGTACGTACGTGCTAACCGTGAAGGGCCGAGGCCAAGGGTTCATGCCTCGCGTGGCGGACGTTTTTCATGAAAGTTTCTGCAGCAATAGGCGTGAAAGGGAACAAGTTCTTTCTTCTTTTCAGTACCGCTTTTAGTTCTGAACAAAAATCAAATTAGAACGTAGCTTCATACGTTTTTCAATGATAGAACAACTTTAGATATCCCTTTGAAAATACTTTACTCGCTATTAATATCGTACGAGAAATAAAAAAATCTTTAGCATAAGAAATACGTCTACTTGAATTGGGAAATAAAAGAACGTGAAGTAGCAATAGGTTTTGTTTCTACTTGAATAAACGCACGGGCATCGAGATATTTCCTGATGTTCTCTTGACATGCATCGAATCGTTCGCTTGGCTGTGTATTACGTACAAACATTTACATCGCAACGGATCCAACGTATATGCTGTAATGCACCGTCGAGCACGTTCAGTGAACTAGACTTAAGAATCTTCCTGCTCAACGGCCTCGTGATACAAAATATTCATGACATCAAATTACGTTCCGAACTTTCGCTTTAACTTCTCGTTGCAAAAAGGCATTTCATAAGACAGTTGACTACCTGATTAAATTCGAACACTATTAAACATGACTATATTATTA